GCAACATCTGGCCTGCGGAGCTCCCCACAGGTCTAGAAATTTGGCAGCAAGGAAACAGTGGCCATTAATATAGCCACTATGCCCCCCCTGCCAAATGCCTAAACTTCAAGCTCCAAGGAAATGTCACACCAAGGAAATACATGTATTGGTAAGCATCTTGTTTTATTCTAGTTTAATCTGCTTGATCTATTATTATTATTATACATTACTGGAAAAATGAATCTGCATTTTCTAAACATCCAAAAGTTGAATTTTAATCTTCTTTTGAAAAAAGAGTAAGATGAGACAATGAGTCCTTGCATCAAAAGACTTAAATATATTTAACAGTCACTGAATTTCAAGACTTCACCTTCCTGAACAGCTGCGATTTTCATTCATGGTTTATGTAATTATGCTTTTACTGTTACTTCTGAGAAACAATACTTACATCTTAGTATCTCAAGGGTCTTTTAAAGTGGTACTAGTAAGATATCTTAAATGTTTGTTTTGGGAATGAAAACACTTATTAGATTAGAAACAATTAAACTAAGATTTGTTTCATTACTATAATATTTTTAAATGAATGAATTTAAACAGATTTTCATTCCCTGCCTTTATAGATTTGCAGAAAATAGGCAATATACCATTTCCTGGGCCTCCTACCTGGCACCATAAAGATGTACATAATCTAAAAACTAATCTCCAAGAAGAAAAGCTATAATTTGTAACATGCTGTCATTTATCCAAGTTTCATATGAGTTTAAGGATGAAGTACTGACCTCTGTATTTTGCTTTTTATACGCAGTACAAATCACTGATCTCTAGTAAAAAGACTAGATAATCTAACAACAAGTAAAAGTGATGCCATTATTTAGATAACATATATAAAATGTTCTTTTTCTTTGTTTTATTATTCAGGGGTAAATATATTTTTGAAAAATCAGTACCTATAACAAAAGGAACTGCTGATAGCAAGCACCACAATAACTGATAGGGTGCATGGCAGTGATAAAAATGTTGTTTCAGATAGTACCTTCTAGTAATCTACTATCAGTTGTCAGGGAAGGCTGAAAAACAGTCTTACTCTTTAAAAGACTAATTTAAAGCATTTATTATTATGTAACTATGGTGTTTCAATGAAAGTAGTCCACAAAGAATAATCGCATGATTAAGGAACTGAAACCCTTGTTGATTTGAGGTCAATTTCTAGCTTGGCCAGCCTCCCTTTAAGTACTTGAACAAATTATTTATTTTGTATTTAAACTAGACATACCACTTTCCTATATCACAAGGGTGTAGAAGGAAAATGTCTGAGATACTCATACCGTCTTGCTGTTAGGATGGCATATAAAAATTACCAAGATAGGCTGAACTTTTTATCTATTGCCAGTAACTTAAAGCCCAACATTTCTTATTAAACACCTCAGCACCTCCAAAATGTTGCCTATAATGCTGATATATAAAAGCTTCTCCTATGACTCCAAAAGCAACAGGATGCTAATTTTCTTTGTAATAAGCAAATGTATCTGTTGATTGCATCTCTCTCTGATCTACCCACCAAGTATTTACACTACCCTATAGGCAGGGTTTTGAAACCTACAAGGTTAATAAGACATCAGGATTCTTGTGAATTTCAAATGCACATTTAATTTAAAAAAAATACAGTAGACAGAGGAGTAGAGGGGTTTTGTTTGTACACACATCCCCAGGCCAAAATAAAGGCAGTAGGTTCACTCTTTACTACCCTTTAATAAATCAGACTAACAGTAGTTTTATCACTATGGGCTCCTACAGACTTGTGGGGAGTGCACTCTGACACGCTAGAAATCTAGTGGGTTAGAGCATGGAAACTGATGTGCTGCAGCAGCCTTCTGCATCACCTTTATCAGCATACCTTTGTCTCCTGCTGAAGAAATGGTGGCAGGGTGCTTTGAAATAAAACACGTTCAATGAACTTTAGTACAAAGTGACTCGCCACCATTTTTTTCAGTGTGGGGATGCTGATACACACGACATGCTCACTAATTAAAGTGCCTGGCGCCTCATCCCAGAACACATGTAAAAATGCCCTATGTGTGCTGGTAAATGATGCAGTGAACTACAGACTAAAGAACAGGTGATACTGAGGGCACAGGCACTAACCTTTAAAATACGAGTGGCTCATGTGTAATGAGTTCACATTCCCGTGTATCAAACAGACAATTTATTTCTAAAGCACAAAGTCTATAGTTCACAACAATTTTCACTATTAAGGAAAAAAAATGAAACCATTTTATTAGGGGAAAAAACTGACAAAGCTTCACATACTTGAGTGGTGCAGGCAGAATTGTCTGGTAGTTGTAGTGTTGTTGCTGTTGGCTCAAGATCTGCAGCTGCAGAAAAAGCTGCTGCTGTTGTAGCAAACGAGCATAGTTGGAGTCCATCTGTGGTTCGTTCTTCTCACCCTTCTGATCAGGTGGAATATATTGATGATACTTCAGCTTCTTTACCCTGGGCTTAGGTTCTTTACATTTCTTGCTCCGATGTTTGTCATTGGGATTCTTGGGGTGGCTTTGCTATTTACAGACAGAAGCAGAGAAAAAAATTTGTAAGACAACAGCTATTACATAAACATCTGGTTTATGAACCAACTGTGTGAAGACATGAAGGTAAAGCATAAAGAAAACCTCCGTTTTGAAAAGGAGACAGCAGGAGAGAATGCTGCCCATTGCTATAATCAACACAGCTTTATAGCCATTTTTTGTTAAAAAAAGTTGGAAAAAATATATTTGTGTTAGTAAGTAAGCAAACAATCAGTTAAATCCAAAAGACCAAAACATACCCATCACATCCAATTTAGAACCTAAATGAAGAGTTCCAGATATATACACATCTTATTAATGCCTGCAACCAGTTTCATACACTTCCCACTAAACACTTTTTTTAAATAGCTTGTGCTGAAAACTTAGAACATTTACACACATACTTTTTAGTCCCACAACGCACTGGAGATCTCCCACTTTGGAGCAGATTCAATTAATCAAGTCTCCTTCTTACGCAAGCTGACATGCACCACATTGCGTTGCATGCAGCTGTATAAGCAGAACAATGCGTGTCAGCGAGTAGAAAATGGTAGGCGTGCTTTTGAACTTAGCACTGGCGCACATTTTGCCATGTATACAACTCCAAGTGTAGAAGCACTGGGTGCTTTTCAAACAAATGCCCATTAACTCTTAAAAGTGATTTTCTGATGTTTTGTCAATCCTGAAGTTCATGTTCCCTATTTTTACCCACTCACTCAGTTTGGTGCAGCTCCTCTCTGACAGCTTGGGATTTGACTACCTGGAAAAATTTAGTAACACCTAAAGTTTTGGGAGATTTTACTTTAAAACCCCATTTTCAGATCACTGATGAAAATGATAAAACTGGGCTCAGATCAGATCCCTGTGGGACGCCAGTTTTGACCTCCCTCCATCTTGACAAGTGACCATTTATCTCTTCCCTTTGCTTTATATCTTTTAACCATCGCTTCATCCACAGAAGAATCTTCTCTCCAGTTCCAAGCAACTCAGTTTTTTTCAGTGAGGGACCTTGTTGAAAGCTGTTTGAAAACCCAAATATGTCATGAACAAGGGGATCCAGTGGACATGTGCTTGTTAACATCCTCAAAGAACTCTAGCAGATTGGTAAGCCAGGATTTGCCTTACAAAAACCATGCTGACACTTCCCAAGCAATCATATTTGTCCATGTGACTGCTGATTTTATAGACTCTACCAACTTGCTAAGGATGGAAGTGAGACTCACTGGTATTTAATTCCCAAGAACCCATCTAAAGCTTCTTCTGAATATGGGTGTTGGCAACCTGCCAGTCCTCTGGCACAGATGCCACTTGAATTGACAGGTTATATCAGTGGTTCTCCACCGTTTTAAAAATCGGGAGACTCTTCTATAACTTTTCTGAATTTGGCAGCACCTCTGTTTCAGAACCACTGAAGAGCCCAAATTCCTGCAGATCTACTTCATGGGTGACAATACAAAGCAGGCTGAACAGCGTTGCAACAATGTCATTCAAACCAACCTGCAGGTGGTGTTGCAGTTGCCAGACATGCTCCACAAGGAAAACAACTATGTTCACAGTTTCAAGTGTGCCATGGAGAAGATGACTCCAGAGTATAATGTTGTCATTCATGCAGACAACACTCCAGCTGGTGAGCATAAGTGGCACTTCAATGCACCCACAACCCGTGCAAAGCCGGGTACTTTGGCTAGTTTTATAATAAACGCACCTATATACAGGTGCAAACTAATGTTTAAAATTACAGAACCAAACCTAGCTTTTAAAAAACTCAACCCTTTTCCTAATCAACTGTTTATAATCAAATTCTAAACTCTATACATTCTACCACATCTCTACAAAGGCCAATTTAAAAAAAAAAATCTGGCCCTGCAGCATGATCCAGAAGTTGGTAAGTACTGGTCTAAAGACAGGACAGGGTCATTATGGAGAACTACTTCACATGAAGAATACATGTCCCATACTTAGGCCTGTAATTCAAGCTGAAGCAACTAGATACTATGAAGGTTACCTTAGTGCAGCCTTCTCAAAAATTGGAAGACAGAAAAATAACTAGATTGTCAATGTCCAGAATGGGTTTCTTGAACAATTTTAACTTGCTATCCTCCCTAAAGAAGGCAATGACCATTTTCAGTAATGTACCCAATACATCTCCTTTGTCTTTCACTAATCTAAAAGGATGCAACTTTCAGTGGGTTACAGTTCTAACACTTCCAACACCTTAGTAAGCATGCTGAACAAAGCTCAACAACAGAAGACTTTCAAGATCATATTCAGCTCTGATGAAAACATCCACTTGATTGTGAATTGAACTACTTTTTCCCAAAGTATCTAGAAATTTTCTCATAGTGGTAGGAAATAAAATCAACACTCTGAAGACAGCTTGGATCAGAGATGATCTTGGCTGAGATGAGTATTTGCTTGAATTTCTCCCTTACAAGGGCCCTTAAAATGTGGCTGTATAATAAAACATATTCCCAATAACATGGGATTTTCTTAAATTAATCTCTGAGGAGGAAACTAAAAAATGCCAACCTACAGAGTAAGATATTCACAAAGAGTTTTTGGCATGTGCTGTATATAGAGAATGTGTGAAATGACAGTTCAGAAAAAAATCCAGTTCCTCTCAAGGGCTGCGGCAATGACTGCATGCCTTGGGAAATTTACTAGTTGCTCCCATTTCATTTAAATGTAGGAGACTGGTTTTGGAACATTTCTAACTGTCTGCAATAAGAATAATACTGTTAAAGCAAGGTTTTATGTCTGTGTTTCAAACCTGAACATCAATGAGAATGTTATCTGTTTCTGGCCCATAAATCCCAGAAACAGTGTTCATCTAGAGATTGCTCCAGCTGTACTCTTACTCGTGGTCCTGGTGTTCACGGTACAGATACCCTCTGGTTACGGAAATCTCCTCCTTAGCAAACTCTGAATCAGTCTCCAGTACAAACGGGTAACAGTTTTAGAGCACAGAATGATGAAAGGAAATTCCATGTTGATATACACGTACTAGTTAATCATGTGGTCTGTTAAACTTTTTGAAGGGTCTCTGAAGTTGATAAAGTTGTTCATGTGAGTGTTCTGGTTTAACTCCATTTAGCTCAGCAGATACATTTCAAATCAACATCATTATAATGGAGCAGAATTAGACCTGATCCAGTACATCCCGAGTACTGAGAGTTAACTGAGAGAGAGTGGCAAGGAGGGGCATGAATGCATTCCTCCTGTTCCTACTGAGCCCCTCACACAAAACCAGACTGGCTGGTTTTTGTGCTGGGAGGATGACTTTCACCAATAAAGAATACACAATAGATAGGGACCTACCAAATTTGCATTTTTCCAGATTTGGCAAAATCCAGGCAATACCCATGAAATCCATGGGGAAGAAAAAAAATCTTACCAAAAAGAAAATGTTGGCACCTCGGAGGGAGCCAGCAGTTCTCAGTGAGCTGCAGCAGCCTGGTGGGGAAGGGGGAGCTGCCTGCCCAAAGGGCTGCAGGCAAGATGGCTGCTGCTCCCACCCCTCCATCAGCTGGCGATGAGGAGCGGGGCTGCATGATGGACAGTCCTTGTAGCCAGTCAGGGGCAAGGCTACATGATAGGCAGCCCCCGCAAACCAATCAGCAGTGAGGGGCAGGGCCACTAGGGCCCCATGGCCAATCCAAGTCATTTGGGGGGGGGGCACTGCACTTCACCTGCGAAGTGACAGCCCAGGACTGCATTCTGCCTGTGAAATCAGGGCCGGGGGGCAGCCCCTACGAATTAGGTAGGTCCCTAACAGCAGCGTGGGAGGACTCTGGTTACTCCCTGAAGCATGTATCTTTTTATGCATTTACATTTGTATGTGAAGCCAGGGCAGGGTGACACTTTAGAAACTAACTTATTCATCACAAGCTTGTACCTTGCAGGCAGCTCCCCAACCTGTTTCTCTACCAATATCATATATGCCATCATCTGCTTATACAGCCTCTCTGCTATCCACATTGGACAGACATAGCGATCCCTATGTGAAAGAATGAATGGACACCATTTTGACATCAATTCCAAAAAGACATAAAAGCCTGTGGCAGAATGCTTAAACCCCCCGGACATCCCATCGCCGGCCTAAAGCAGCTGTCTTAAATAACAAAACTCTAAAAACCTACTTGGATGCAAACTGACAGAACAAGAAAATATCTACAGACCAGGCTGTGCTACATAGGGTCTCAGTAGAGACTTTGAATTCTTATCCCATTACCTGGACTATCTTTTATAACCCTCATGTCACTCTTTGGGTTGACCGCTCCAACACACTGTCATTCTCTCAGCTGTGCCCCTTTCCACTATCCTTTCCCAATTCTTTGTATTTAAGTTACTTTATTTATTCCTTTCTATTTAGTACCTATGCTCTCTGCAAATCTATTCATAGCATCTGACCAAGTAGGCTGTCACCTATAAAAGCTTATTACTCTCTGAATGAGTTAATCTTTAGCATGCTACCATGCCCTGCCTTCTGCCTGACTTCAGACTAACATGGCTAACTCTACCGCTCTCTACTTTTGTACTTGAAGAGTAAAGTAATGAGTATGCACACATATGCACACTTATGGTAGGCTAATGAAACATTTTGCAAACATTGCAAAATGTGACTGATTCCAGATAGCATGCTGTAGTTTTCAGCTGACAGCTCAGCTATTCTTCTGAGCACTTGCAGGATACAAATGTATTTTTTTAAAGCACCATAACTAGGAATCTACGTATTCCCTGTCATTATAAACAGAGAGCAGATTTACAGCACAAACACCAAATGCCTTCATAATAACCTACCTTTACCAATGTTGGCCCAGGCTTTGCTGAAGAGACAGTATTTGTGATCAGGGTAACAGAAGCTGTAGAGCGTGTAGTGTGCTGTTCAGTGGTGAGGGGAGGTTTTAGGAATTCAAGGACTGGAGAGGTTAGTGGTGGATACTGGTTATAAAAAACAGAAAAAAAAAAAAAATCAACATTAAAGTTGGCACCTAAATAGGAAAACCATGTAAAAAACGATGACCATTCCATGTACATAGAATCAAGGATTTTTGGACAAGAATGGTTTACCTGCCCATATAGTCCTCTCCACAGTCAAATTAGAATTGTTCAATACTACATATAATTTGGTTTTTTGCTTTTCATATACCTCCAGTCTAGGTTTGTACATCTCTAGTGATGAGGCATTAGGAGACTTGTTTCTAATCTCACTGAAGGAAAAAGCAAAATTCCAACTGATTTCTATGAAAAATGTCATGCCGTTACAGCATTATAAACTCAACCTACATGTTACCCCTCTTAATGTCAGCCTATTCCTTCAAGTTAATATGTTTGTAACATGGCAAATAATTATTTCCTTTGTCTTGTAGACTTCCGTCTCGTTCTCCTAGCAAGCTTTATACACCACATTGTTCCAAATTTAAGTCACTCCTACATATAAGGTAAATCCATATTTCTGGGTTTGCTTTTAGGAAAAAACCCTTTTGCCACCAAATATAACTTGATAATTACCAATAAACTTCTAAAACTTTGGGTCCTGGTCCTTGATTCAAGATGCACTAAAAAAAGAATTGCACTAAAAAAAAATTCTGAGTTGGTATTTTTTCATTGCATGCACAAAAATATTACAAGTACAAGAGTCAAGATTGTCAGGGACTCAGTTATAGATCAGTTCTCATAAGTTAGTGTGCGATTTTCATTGGGTTTTTTGCAGGAAAAATAGATCAATATGTAATCAGAACAATATTATATCAGTCCCCAAAGTCTCGGTGGCAAAAATTCTCTCAGGCCCTTTTCAGTTCCCCTTGTTTGCATCTAATAGGGATAAACATCTTCGTTGTGAAATACAGTTAATTTCAGGGAAGAGATTAAAGGTAGTTTTGAGGTAGTACATCTGCCCTAATTCTCCCCAGCAATTTTGGTGGTATATGGTATTTCCTAATTAAAAATATTACCCTTTTCTCTTCTATTTTTAAAGACTCCCAGGCAACAGAAAAATATGACTATTCAAGGAAAACAGTCATTGCTACTAGATGCCAAGGGCAGCATTCTGTTACTTCACTGGTCATTTAAGTGGCCATTTTTTAGTTGTCTACATGGATCTTCAGGCACTTACGTGCCCAAAGGAATTCTACTCCTCGATGCGTAGATGTCTACATAGGCAAACAGACTGGGCATGCTCAAGAGAACCTGGCACATATTCAAATCAATAAAATACTTCTCTCTAATTTTTTTTGTAGTTAAAAAGTAACTGTAAGCATGATTTAGAACAGGGGTTGGCAACATTTTTGGCCGGAGTGCCAAAAACACCCCAACCTTGACCCATGGCTCAGTTTGGCATGCCAGGGGCAGACAGCAGGGGAGCTGCAAAGGGCCTGATCCTTGTTGCTGGTGGTGAGTGCACACGTCTCCGGGTGGATGGCAGAGGGAGGACCAGGGTTGCGCTGCCCCAGCCCTGTCCCTGCTGTGAGCCCCGAGGTGCGTGTGCAGCTGCCACTGGCTCCAGAGGCGGGTTGGGGCTCCTGACCCCGGTGCACGGGCTGCAGCCCCCTGGCTGCCTGCCACAGCCAGCCCAGGCTCTGGGCAGCTCTTACCTGCCATGGAGCCCGAGCTGCTTGCAGCCTCTTCACCGCTTGCTGTAAGCAGCCCAGGCTCCATGGCCAGCGGCAGTTGCCCAGGCTGGCTGTGACGTGCTGATAAAAATTTGTAATTCACCTTTTCTCCTGACCCCCTTGTATTCTGACCCAGAGCACCTCAGTCTGCCCTACCTCAGACCCAGTGCTGTTTGCTGAG